GTTAATTATTTTTTCTGCTTTTAACTTGTCCTCCAAATTTCCTACTCTTTCCTTTACTGCACAAAGTTCATTAAAAACATAGTCACTTTTACTTTACAGTTAATTTTGTTTATATACAGTCGACCCCCCTATAATTACGGTCCCTATAGTTACGATTCCTATAAAACTACGAAAAAATTGCTACCGGTATCCGTAAAAAATAGTAAAAGTTCCCTATAAACATCTCAAACGTCATCGGGAAGCCGAACTACTTTCCCGCCGTCCGTAGCGCCACGCTACGGAGAGATTTCTATCGTCTGGACAGTATTATATAAATTATATATAAATTAGGTACTGTACATATAATTATATATTAATTATATATAAATTAGGTACTGTATATATAATTATATATTAACTTATTGTAACTTTGTTATAATTAAATATATAATTTCCGCCGTCTAGCGTGGCGCCACGCTACGGAGATTTTTACGCTAACTATCGTCTGTCAGTATGTAAATTAGGTACCGTAAGTCTAATACAGTACTGTAATTTTATACATTTCTTGTGAAAGAAACATTTCTTATTCAACGGCGATTAAAATTATTTATATTAATGATGTCTCCGAAGTTCTACGAAGTTTTCACAGAAAAATAAGTTGTTAGAAATCGGCCGCTCTTTGCTGAGCTGTTCCGCGACGAAAACAATGTTGAGCAATGGCAATGTCGAATGGTGACACTCGGTAAGTAATCCTACAATTTTTTGTTTATAGCGTAGTTTATACGGATTATTCCCAAAAAATATATACGTATTTTGGAAATGTTGAGTCGGATTAGTCTAGAATCGATTAATTTTATGGAAGAAAATCTTTCAAACAGCCGTAGTCCGTAAACTTGATACGTGTCGGGTTGTGATTGGAAGGATTCGTAAGAAAGCGGATTCCTAGAGAATGGAACGTATCTCTATCTTATAGGGGGGTCGACTGTATTTATATAACAAATATTTTTATAAATTTATTTTTTTCATCATAATTTCACAATTTCTATGAAAACCGGACAGATTAATAATTAATCAGGACCATAAATTTAAAAACTTGTCTGGGTGAAAACAGGCCTGGTGGCAACTTAAATTCCTTTAGTTTCAGTAAGTTTCCTTTACTTGCTGCTAGTGTTGACTACCCTCATACTGATTAATCAGTATGAGGGTAGTCAACTACATAGTGCCTTGCATCTTTGCATGGGCACCCACAGGAACAGCAACCATCTCCTTGTCCTAACTTGGACTAGAAGAGGGGAAATCATCCATGTTCAGTCAGTATTTGGGTTGCTAACCAATTGCAACTCACAGGAGTTCAGCCAACTTCAGGCACAAAGGTGTAGGTTGACCTAACTACTTTCAGCTACCTTGCCAAAATATGTCATTGATCATTGCAGTAGAGTACCTTTTATGTAAGTAACCAAAAGTTCAACTTGTTTTCATTACAAATAAGCCCCTGGCCACCTCCTTGGCCAGGTGATTGCACTCGTTGCCCAGGATCCTGATGTGGCCTCGAACCCACCTCAGGTCAATGTGCTGTGCATGCCTCGCCCTCAGTACCCAACCTCTGATCTCCTGTACCATTTTCTCTTTGTGGTACCCGTTGCTCAGGGCCTGAAGCGACAACTGACTGTCAGAGTAAACCATGACCAGCTCTGGACCTGGATGTTGTAGGATCCCCTGGGACACCCCCTCCAAGGCCACCAGTTCCATCTGGAACACAGACGCCTCCTCGTTCAGTCTGACTGACTGTCAGAAAAGACACAGTAGACAGCACCTACTAGGCTACTGTTTTCAGAGCCATCAGTGTATATTTCAACACCAGCAAGTTTGGGATGTTCGATTCACCAACATCCCAATCTTGTCCTATGCTATAGGCAGGATGGACTCTCAGTATGTCTGACTGACATCTAAGTTTGATGACTGAGTACATCTGGTTACAGCCTTTGGATGGAGTTGTTCCAGATTCAGTATATTGGTCGGCATACCAACACTCTACCTGGGCCACCATCAGGGCCTCTGATTTCTCAGGGCTGAAGGATAGCTTATGCAGCTCTCCCCAGTGAATGAGTCATTCTATTGCTTTGTTGCCACGAATCTCCCTCGCATCTACTTATACCTGCAACTATTAGCAACAGATCATCTGCATAGGCCTGCAGTTGAACATTGTCTGGCAAGACAAGTCTCAGCACCATATCTGCAAGAATGTTCCAAAGGAGAAGGGCCCTATGCATGACCCCTGGAGACAACCCTCTGCAGTCTCCTGACAAACCTTGCACTTGGGGTGTAATACTCTACTGTGCAATCACTCAGGAAACTCCTGACAAGTGAGAAGAGATTAGTCAGCAAGTTCGCCTTCTGCAATTCACCTACTATGGATGGCCACCAGATGTTGTCAAATGTCCCCGCAATGTCCATCAAAATGAGCGAAGTGTGGACACCCTGCTGGCAGTTCTGGTAAACCATGTTGACTGTCTGATGTAATGCATAGCAGGTTGACATGTCCGGCCAGAACCCATATTGTCGTGGGTGTAAAAACCCTCGTGCTTAAAGTGATAGTACAGTCTGTCTGACAGGATTCTTTCTAAAACTTAGGACTAGCAATAGGCTTATAGGTCTATATGACTTTAGTTTGTCCTTTGGGTACCTACTCTTATGTATTAACACAGTTGCCATTAGTGATGCACTGATAAGCATTTTGGCCAATTATCAATTAATTGGCAATTAAAAATCAGCTGATTAATCAATATATAGAATATGCAGAGTCAACAACTTTGCTCTCTACACTAACAGTAAATTCACTATGGAATCTCTTGTTAACAAAAATAATTTGCATCCTATTGTTAATCTTATTTCCACCACCAGGAATGTCTATGCTATCAATTGGATTCATGATCATCAGGACGTCACTGGAAATAAGAGCTGATACTTTAGCCAAAGTTGGTGCTGCAAAGAGTAATGCAAATCTTGCCTATAATCTATTCCCAAAGACAATCTTTGTGGTCCTTCTGGAAATACCTATTATTTAAATGGCAAGACACATGAAATGAGCTAGCTACTTCCACCAAAACACAATATTCTTTCTATCAAGATCCATATAAAAATTCACTGGTTCCAATCAACTCATGCTTGCACTCAGTTTCTTACTATCATAATAATTTTAACAGCTAATTGTGCAGATGTGGAAAAAAAACTCAAGATCCCTGTCTTGTTTGTGATGTTCCTGATGAGACCACTCACTAGTGATTGGATGACTGGACAATATCTGAAATGAGTTTACACTCACTATAACAACTAATGGTTATCATCAGCCTCAAAGATCAACTTGTCTTTGTTTCTTTCCACCAAAGAGCATATAATATTTTTTATAGGATGGCAAATTTATATCAATGCTGAATCTGGGACTCTCATTATGCTCACTGAGACTCCAATGTTGATCGATTTGTTGTAGGTTTACATGTTTTGTTTTCTTTTAGCTTTGTACTGTTTTGTTTATTTTTTAAGTACTGCCATTATTGACTTATCTTTGCACTATGTAATTAACAAATTGTATGACTATTTTATTTTATCTTTTCTGTGTATTTTGTTCATATGCTTTCAATTCATAATATTCACTGGAAATGATATGTTTATATCTGTGCTGTTTTTAACTTATCTCTGTGTTACATTTTCAGCACATTATTTTATTTTAGAATGCCAATTGGCTTGCCATTAGCAGAGATAATGCTGAGACAAATGGAAGAAAAAGTTAGGTTTGAAGCTGATGTTAGGTTAATGATCATGTATGTGGACAATCTGTTTGTAATATGAAGAAATAGAAGTAGAAAAGAAGAGTTCCTGAGAAAATTCTCAGAAATTAATTATTATTTGATTCTTTTGACATTCCATTTATTTAACTGAAGAAATTCAATAATTAGAATGTCTGAAAAATAAAAATTAAATATAAACTGACAAAGCCAACATTCCCAATATAAACAATTAGTAATTCTGAGTTATTGGTATTCAAAATTTAACTTATATCTTTTACTAGTTTCCATACACCTGAAAATTTAGCTTTTTATGATTTAAATATAGAAAATGGTATAGCCTAAGTTTAAAAGCTGAAAAAATTTTACTCTGTTCAACTCTTTTGAGATATTAATATTTCATTTTCAAAATGTCTACAAAGAAATAATACATAATTTTTTAAAATCTAAAACATATAGAAAAATTAACACAATAATAAAACAATTAAAAATTTCTTTTAATTACTATTAATTGCTTCATTTGTATTAGCTCAGAAAGTGTAGTTTTTAAATTTTAAACTATTTCAAGCTTTATTTATTTAAATAAAATTTTAAATTATTAAACAGAATAAGTTTAATAATTTAAAAATTTTATTCAAATCTGCCAGTGTTGACTACCCTCATACTGA